ACCTGATTCGTTTGACAGAAAATAAAAATCCAGAGTGGGCAGGCGATGTGGACAAGGTCACAGAGGCAAAGCCGGGCTGGGGACCCTGCACCTGCCTGGGTCTGGCACAGGGTCAGCACTAAGCATCTGGTGCCGAATGAATGAAGGCAAGTGGTGTTCCCCACAACTCGCGGTTCTTCTAACTGGTTCAGGATAAGGGATTTGCAGGTTATGGAGATTTCCTAGAACGCGATCAAATGTTTTAAAATTCCACTTTTAATTTCCCAGAAGCCGGAGTGGAATTTCTCAGCCTTTTCCACGTAAGCTAACAACCTTCTCAACGGAGGGAACCCCAAGGCAAAGATGTCACCTCCAGAAACCCAGAGTCTGTCCCCTGCCAGGTGCGGCTTCCCTTAGGTGTTTACATCAACCACCAAACTCATCCCTGTCAGTGCGCTGGGGCCTAAAGGAAGGGTGTTCGGACAACACCCCGCTTCCGGCCGCACAACCCTAGGACCAGATGGCCCGTTTCGGGGGGGATTTGGAATTGCAGCGGCCAAAGGCAGTAAGGGGGGCGAGTGGTAGGAGTGGGGGTCTAGGAAACTGGTTTGCGAAAACGCACGCGGGCGCACCGAGAACGGACGCCGGGACGAGAGGTGGGTGTGGAGCGGGCAGGGAGGCCTGGCCAGGGGCTCGGCGGGTCAGGCTGCCAGGGGCCGCGGGTCCGGAGCTGGGGGGCGGGGGGAAGGACGGGGGCGCGGGGCGGGGGTCCCGGGGCGGGGTCTCCCGGGCGGCGCGGGGTCCCGGGGCGAGGACTCCCGGGCGGGGCGGGGTCCCGGGACCGGGCGGGGTCTCCCGGGCGGGGCCGGGTCTCCCCGGCGGCGCAGGGTCTCCCGGGCGGGGCGGGACCCCGGGACGGGGCGGGCGGGGCCTCCCCGGCGGCGCAGGGTCTCCCGGGCGGGCGGGGTCTCCCGGCGCCGCGGCCCGGCCCACGCACCTCCTCGGCCTGCTTGCGCAGCGCCTTCTCCCGCTCGTACTGGGTGATGAGCTGCTCGTTGTCGTCCCGCAGCAGCTCCAGCTCCACCTGGTGCTCCTGGTCCTGCGCGAACACCGAGTCCAGGTTCTCCAGCACGGCCACCACCAGTGGCATCAGCTCCTTGACCACCTCCTCGTCGTAGCGCCCGATGAGCCGCTCGAACTCGCGGTAGATGGAGCCGGCCAGGCCCGACACCCGCTCCGACATCACCGAGCCGGAGCAGTAGTCGTCCTGGTACACCACCACGCCGCCGCCCTCGTCCATCTGGATCTCCATCATCGCGGCCGCCGCCGCCGCCGGCGCGCCCGCCCGCCCCGGCTGCCCGCAGGCCGCAGGCCGCGGCCCGTCGCCTCCGCCGCGGCCGCCGCCGCTGTCGCCTCAGGGCTCGGGCGCCGCCGCCGCCCCTGTCGCCTCAGGGCTCGGGAGCCGCCGCTGCTGCTGCTGCCGCTGCTGCCGCTGCTGCCGCCGCCGCCGCCGCCGCCGCTGCCTAGGCTGCGCCCGTCACTCAGCGGCCGGAAGTCCTGCTTCCCGGAAGTCCCGCCCGAGCCCCGCGCCGCGGCGCCACTGGGGGTCGGGCGCACGTGACGTAAGGTATCCCGCCCCCTGGACGGAAGCTCGGCCCAGCCGGGCAGGAGCACTTCCCGTCTGGCTTGTCACGGCCGCTGCCCGAGGGCGCGCGTCACCCTCGGCGGGTTCCCGCAGCTCCCACGACACCGGCCCGACTGTAAATGTGACCTCGCCCTGTCCCGGGAGCGTTTACCCGCGACCGCTGCGTCGTACGGCCGTACGCAGAGGTGTGGCCCCTGGGTTCTGCGCGCGTGCGCGTCCCCGCCCTGGGCCCGGTCCCCGCGAGGGGGCGCCGCCCGGCCGTCCCGCCCCCGAGGCCGGGCTGCGCCGCCCCGCGCCGTGTGCCCCTGGCTCGCCCTCGCCGGCTTCGCGTTAGCTGTGTGTAGTCACCCGCCAGGTCCTTAACTGCAGGGAGTGTCTTCACGTTTGTCCTACTTGGTCCTACATTCTGTCTCGATAGGCTTTTATTTCCTCCACTTCCAGCCACTTGTAGGAAACCTCTTCAGTGAGCTTTTTTTTTTTTTTTTTTTTTTTAAACCTAATCACAGTGTCCACAGCCTTTGCTGGTCTCGTGCTGCGGTGCTGGTTTGGTGCACTCTCCTCCTTCCCTTCTGAAACTAGGACCTTTGCGGGAACACTGAAGCCTGAATTTACAGCTGCTCCACAGGGATCTGCATTTGCTTTCACTGGCGTCTGAGGATACCATCAACCCACGACTCACACTTTGAGTTTGAGGGCCACACAGGTAGTAGTAATTCTGATTAACAACAGCCACTAAACGTGTCATAGCTTAACGCGACAGAAATGCTCTCATCCCTGCTTTTTACCTAATGAAATGTTTCAAGGTCAGTTCATCCTAACCTGATTGATTGCACCAAATCAACGAACCCTCCTGCAGATGATGATGTCCTGAATACTACTGCACAGATTTTCTCCTTGCAACCTAATTTTCTGTGTGGATGCTCACCCACCCCATTAGGAGAGAAATTAAGGTTTCTGTCTCAGATCCAGATTATCTGCGTTTTAAAAAAAAACATTTATTAACTTTTGAGAGACAGAACATGAGCAGGGGAGGAGCAGAGAGGGAGATACAGAATCTGAAGCAAGTTCCAGGCTCTGAGCTGTCAGCAGAGCCGGATCCAAGGCTCACACCCTCGAACCAGGAGATCATGACCTGAATAGAAATGGGATGCTTAACCGACTAAGCCACCCAGGTGCCCCCAGATTATCAGGGTTTTGATGCTAGCTACCTAAGTGACCCAGTCATCCCAACTTTCCATTTCCAAACTGAGCCTAAAAGTCTTACCAACCTCCTAGGAAAGTTAGGAATGTTAATAAGCTAATCCATCAAAGGGGCTTAGTACATTTCTAGCAATATAGTAAGGATGCAACATAGAATTGTTAGGTTTATTCTCAAAATGAAGAGTCAGGACAAACAGGTATGTGTAATATTTGTTGGTGAGCAAGTTACAAAAAAAGCTTGAGTGTTTTGGGGAATGTTCAAGACTTCTACCTTAGGCCTTCTTTTCAGTAACATGACCCCTTTGAACCCCTGAAGTATCAAATACATAGTAAGGCAGCCCCCACTGAGAGGCAAATTGGCCACCAACGTTATTGGTTTTTATTACTAACATAATCAGGCAGATTTACTTGAAATTGGCTAAAACACAATGAAGTTTTAACAAGACGATGCGCTGAGTGATTCCTGATCTTACTTCAGGGTGCAACTCGTGTACTTCGGGGACCTCAGCTAGACTTCCTGTCAGATTGGTAAGCTACTTGGGGATACAGATTTTGGTTTTCTCAGCACATGGCCCTAAAAGGTACGGTGATTATGTGGGTTTCAAAAGTTCTGCCGTAGCCTGGCTCTGGCACAACGGATGGCGTCCTGGGTTTCCAGGAGCGTTTGTCATGATGAGCGCTGGATGATATATCGAAGTGTTGAATCACTGTACTGTACACCTGAAACTGATAGCACGCTGTAAGTTAACTAACTGGAATTTAACTAAAAACTTAAAAAAGTTATACCTTAATTTGCTAGAATGTCACCTAGGACCCTGTATTGTCCCCCTCAATTCTTCCTACGCTGAATTTTGATGGCACTCGTCATCAAACATACAACAGGAATATTTCACTCGTGATCTTCAAGAATGCTAAGGATTAAGGATATAACAAGAAATGAACTGGATAACACAGGAGGAATATACAGTCTTGAAACATTTGAAAAATAATAGAACAAGTTACGTCCCATCCAGAGCCAGACATTTCTGAAGAAAGCAGTTGGTCGGTTGCTCCCTCACCGTAACACATGTGGAGGAGTTACCTTGGTCCTTCAGACATGGCCACTGCCCAGCCCCCAGAGACAAATGGGTTTTGAGTCTCCAGGACCGAGCTGGCCCACGGCTGGAGCCGCCGCTACGTAGACAGTGCGACTACGTAGACAGTGCGACGTTAGGAGCGCCTGGTGCACATCTCGGTACATGCTGACTCAAACACGTTTTCGGATGAACAAACGGAGACAGTGTCACGTGGCGTACATCGGGGTGCTTTCTGCTGTGCTGCCCCGGTGGTGGCTCTGGTGTAGCAAGGAGAAAGGTGTGCTGCCTTCTGGGGGGCAGGGCTGGGGGGGGGGGGGCGCCTCCAAGCAGGTGGTCTGAGTGCTTGCATCTCCCTAGATCAATGGGATGCACGTAGATAGTTTGCTTTCAGGACGTATGAAAGTGGCTAACATGGGGCGCCTGGGTGGCTCAGTCGGTTAAGCATCCGACTTCGGCTCAGGTCTGATCTGATCTCACAGTTCGTGGGTTCGAGCCCCGCGTTGGGCTCTGTGCTGACAGCTCAGAGCCTGGGGCCTGCTTCAGATTCTGTGTCTCCCTCTTTCTCTGACCCTCCCCTGCTCACGCTGTCTCTCAGAAATACATAAAAAATTAAAAAAGAAAAAAAGAAAGAAAATAGCTAACATATAAAAGAGAAAGAATGAATCTGCTTTCTTAATAGGACTTTAATCTACCGGGAAACTAAAAGCTCAGCACCTCATCTTCTCATTACCAAGCTTGTTACTCAAGTTATAAAGCTCACTCAAGAGGCAAGTTCAATGCCATCATTTCTTTAGGAAAACCAATGGTTAGGAGAAAAAAGAATCATTACCTTTAACTTACAGAAACCTAAGAGGAGCAGTGGCATATTCCTGTTCATTATACTCAAAGGTAGGTCTTTGGCTTCCAAATTTCAAAAGTGTAAATCCATAACCTTTGAGAAGATTAATGTGGGCATCCCTCTGGCTAAATAAATGGGGGGGAGGGGGAGACAAAGCCTTTCAGCAACGAACACCTATAAGGGAAGGAGCAGGGTCCAGGCGCTTTGGGGAACGGATGCAGAGGAGCACATGTCAACATGCACACAAAGGAGCGACAAAGACTTCGAGTACATGATTGTGAAGTTTAATTCAACGCGTATACCCAATCCTGCTTTGTAACAAGATGCCCCCATCAAAACTATGTTGTGATGTGAGTACAGACTTCTTGTTTTTGATACAGCTCTAGAAAAAAGTTGGCACCAAATGCACATAAAAAAAGTTTTAAGGCTTAATAAAAATACAGACTAATAACTTCTCAATGCAGCTTAGAGGTTGAACACAGGATGCTGAGTTAATGCATCTTCCAAATACAGGCAGTCTTCAGTGTACAGAGCATTTTCCAAACATGAATGGCCACCCTGTTGGCTCCCAGGAGCAGAAAGGCCTCTCCTGCTCCCCCAGCGACCAGACACCAGGCACTCTAATCCGGTTTCTGCGGCCCCAGGGAGGGAAGTAAGGCAGGGCGTCTGTCCCCACTTCGCAGAGGCTCTTGCTTCAGTTCTGCTGTGCCTCCATTCCCACCTCTCCTCCCCATCCGCACCTGAGACGCCTGCTGGGGACAGAAGCAGAGAGCTCCTCATCGCTTCCGCCCGCTGGGTGGGCAGAGAGGCAGGGGTGAAGCCACAGGGGCCAGCACTACAATATCCGGGTTCCTGGCAACCCATAATTCACGAATCGTTTTCTTGAATATTAAAAAGCACAAGACACAATCATAAGTGGCGGTTCATTTGCAACACGAGAACACTGCATTAAGTTAAGCAAGGTAATGTGTTTGGACTTAAACCCTAACCACCACTTACGACAATTTTTTTAATGGGGGGAAAATGCTCTGCATCCCAAACAACTTTCCTGTAAATGGCCACTTGAAGGGCGGAGACAGGAAGTAGTTGAGAGTTGCATGGAATGCGTTTCTTGGCTCCAGAGTGAACAGGGCAGCTGAAAGGGGGAAGCGGTCTTTGGTGAACAAAGCCACGTGCGCCACGTGTAAGGCGGAGCTCGGCCTGCGGCTCCTGCAGGCACTTCGGTGTCTAGGCCACGGTGGGTGCGACTGAACCCAGTGTTGTTGCTTTTCTGCACTGTGATGACGACGCAGGTATTTTTAGCACACGGCATTGGCTTTGTAGGCACTCGTACCGATAGCTACCCCAACCCGAACCCTGTCCCCTGTGAGCTGTTGGTCCAACGTGAGCGTAAGAACCAAGAATGTAGCCCTGAAGGACGAGCGGGAGAAACTTGCGCCCGACAGACTGAGCGACAGGACTCTGGCCAGCCCAGTATCTCAGCTGGAAAGTAGCACAGAATTGGCCAGCTGAGACTTCACTATCAAACTACTTCATCTTCTGGCCCAAGGTCTCCAGGTCTCTTCTGGAAACTGAATGTGGTCAGAGGTTCTGCAAAGCTTTAAAAAGAGCAGCAAAGCAAACGTTGCTTCCTCTTTGCTATACCTGAGCAACTGACTTTTTCCTAGAAAGGTGTCACAAAGAGATCAGAGTCAACAGTCACTTACATAAAGCTGGGATTTTCTAATAGTTCTCTAGATACTATTGAAGATTCAAACCTAAGAACCCCACGGTTCAGGACCATTGCTTCCTCCCACCGCCAACAGGAATAAAGATGCATGAGGGATGTCAGTAGCCCCGCTGTCTGGGTACACGTGGACAGGCCTAAAGCTGCAGAAGTCAGGGGGCCTTGCCAACAGGAAGAACGGACTTGGGAAGGGGTCTGTCCGCATGGCTGGTGATGGGCGTGGACCTGGAATGGAGGCCGCTAAGGAAAAGAGGGGACGATTCACAGTGAAACCAGCCTGCGCAGGAAAGATCTGGCCAAGCGTCTGGATGGCAGAAATGGAGCACCTCAAAATCCTGCCATAAAGCGGGAGACTGAGAACGACTTTTTGGTTTCTGATGACAGCTGCTGAGCACAAGCAACCGGCTATTGGGAAATGTGCAGGGCCACACGCTGGGGCCGACAGCCAAGCGGCCACCAGGGGATGGGAACTGTCCTGAAGTCAACAGGGTGAGGATCTGGGGCCAGCCGGACAGAGAGCCCCCTCCCCTGTCCCTGCCAGTAGCGTTTTGGCTTATGTCTTGCTCCTCTATCCCACAGGGACACCCATGTTGTTTTTTATTTTCTTGCCAAGACTTTAGATTTAAACTCTGCTACTGTGTTAGTGATTCCCAGACCCCACGCAGAGCAGAGCACCATGCAGTGAGGCCGTGGGTGACCCCACGCCACCAGGCCTCACCGTGGCCCCCGCACCCCTCGCAGAGTCTGGTCACATCTGCAGTTAAAAGTGAGTCCCCTTTTCTACCCACCAACACAGGTGTCCTGGCAGTCTGGAAGGTGAGGTCCTCCACGGCTCTGGGATGTGGGCCACGGTGCAGTGCCCGAGCTGTGGCTTCAGATACACGACAGACCCTCTCCCCACCCGGCTCCTTTGGGCTAAAAGAAACTATAGTGTTTGAAATCCTATCTCTCCGGTGTTTTGTCTGGCTACAGGGGAAGCAGCAGCTCCTAGTAGAAGGAGATACTGGACTTGCCTCCAGGTGGGTTCAAGACTTTGTTGTGAGAACGAGGGCGCGGGCCCAACCTGGGCTCGTGGCTGTCAGCCGTGGGTTCGGGCACCGGCTGCTGAGAGCGGCCCGCGTCTCCAGGGCCGCCCTTCCGCCCTGGCTCTTCTCCCGGCGAGGCGCTCGCTGCGGCTGGGGGAGAAAGTCAGCATGCGTTAGAGGCGGCCCAGTAACCAGACAGGCAAGCTCCACATACAGAAAGCCTGGCCCAGACCGGCCGGCAAGAAGTGCGCCCCGTAACGAGCACACGGCCAGGCTTTGGGCTTGTCCTGAGGAGACCTACTCATTAGCAGAGGCCTTCAGAACCAGGGCTTCACACCATCAACTCTTTGATCCATTCCTAAATAAGGTAATGATCTCTGCACGTGGCTCTTTGGACCCCATTCCCCTTTCTTGCACCTCAAGAACAAATAACAAACTTTCTCAACTTGAGCATGAGGAGGAAGAGGGGGATCCAGCAGGGGAACAAGGCTTACAGACACTGTGGCTCAGCCTTCCCGGATGGGGGAGGGGCAGTGACCCACCGCACAGTCAGCGGGGAGGGCGAGGCATGGCTCAGAGTCTGGCACTCTGCCTGCCGGTGGGCAGCTCTCCCCGCCACCCCGCAGGCATCACGGTCCCCTTCTCACGCCCCCTGTGCCCTTCTCTTCTGCTTTGGTGCTGCCTGCGCTACCCTTGATCACACGTTCGTTAGAGGCTTCAGGTCTCCGCCCTTCACTATAGGAGATCAGCTTCTAGAAGGGGACGGGGGACTCCCGGTCTTAGACCTAGGCTGACCACCAATGACAAGAAGTGAAGAAAGGCCCTTGGTGGCCAGTTGGGACGTTTCCCCCTGAAATAACTGAGCTCCCTTCCCTGGCTTCCTTCAAATACTACATATCCTCCTAGCAACAAACGTGACCTTGCCTGTTTCTGTCAGTGGGCTGAAGGGGCAACTGGGCGTTCCCTCTCGTCCCCTGGGGACCCACCAGCAGCTCCCCCAGAGTGAGAGCGCTCGGGGGAAGGGACAGGAAACAGCAGCTCACCTTTAGGGGCCGATTTTGGGTCTTCTCCTTCACACAAGAACACGTGGTCCTGCAACAAGGCAAAACCCGGGTCAGTACGTGATTCGGAAACACTTTACCCACCTTCGCATGCAGGAGGATGATCAGGGCACAGACGGTCTCTTTTAACTTAAAAAAATGCTCTTCTTGTAGGGAATTTTAACCACGGACGGTGACATTAACCCCCACGTAACCCACTGCAGGGACAGTGACGACAGCTCACTGCCGTCCGGAGCTCAGCTCACGCTTCTGGCTGCCATCCCTCCATCCCTCGTGGGGTTATTTTAAAGCAAATCCCAGATATTTCAGTTACCCACAAACATTCCCACTCAGTGGCTCTTAAAAACAGCATTAAAAAAGCCCCATAACCACAATAACACTTTCACAACTGCAAAACTTAAATGACTCCTTAGACGCCTAACACCGAATCATGTATTACAACGTCAGCGTAGCCTTTCACAGCTCAACCCGCCGCCACGTGTATCTTTACTCGTTTCCATGGCCAAGTGGCATCCGGTGACATGTGTGCAGCACACACTGAGTATCCACCCATCCACTGCTGGACGCTGGTGGCTTCCACTTGAGGCTGCCGGGAATGATGCTGCTATTAGAACAGCTGTATAAGTTACCTGTTTGAGTTCCTGTTCTCAGAATTTGGGGGTATATATATTCCTAAGAATGAAATTACTGGGTCACATGGTAAATTCCAGGCTAACCACTTCAGAAAATGTCCAACTGCCGTCGTGTAGGTGTGCACCACTTTACACACCCAACAGCAGTGGATGGGGCTCCATATCCTCACCAACATTCGTTATGTTCCAGTTTTGGTGACAACATCCCTTGAATGGACGTGAACTGGTATTTCATTGTGATTCCGATGTGCATTTGCCCCTAACAACTAAGAATGTTGAGTATCTTTTTTTTTCTTCCAATTTCTTTTGAGAGAGAACACGCGTGCGAGTGCAAGCAGGCAAGGGGCAGAGGGAGGGAGAGAGAATACCAAGCAGACCCTGCGCTTGTGTACATTCTAACGTGGGCCCTGATATCACAAACCGTGAGATCATGACCTGAGCTGAAATCGAGCTGCACATCTAACCGAGTGAGCCACCCGACGTCCCTGCTGAGCATCTTTTCATGTGCTTATTTGTGTGTCTTCTTTAGGGGAAATGTCAAGTCCTTGGCCATTTTTGCATCAGATAGTCTTTTTGCTGCTGAGCTTTGGAAGTTCTGTATATATTCCCGAGAGTAAACTGTTAACTGGTAATAGGATTTGCAAACATTCTCTCCCACTCTGTGGGCTGTCTTTTCATTCTCCTAATAGCGTCTTTTGATGCGTTTATGTTTAAAAAATTTTTTAAAATATTTTTAAGTAATCTCGGGGCGCCTGGGTGGCTTAGTCGGTTAAGCGGCCGACTTTCGCTTAGGTCATGATCTCGTGGTTCGTGGGTTCGAGACCCCCATCGGGCTCTGTGCTGACTGCCAGCTCAGAGCCTGGAGCCTGTTTCAGTCTGTGACTCCCTCTCTCTCTGACCCTCCCCTGCTCACGCTGTCTCTCTCTCTCTCCTAGAAATAAATAAAACATTTAAAAAAAAATAAAAAAATAAAAAACATAAAAATAAAAAAAAAGTCTTCAGAAGATCTCAAGTCACCTACTTACTGACCACAGTAAGGCCATCTGACTTGTGCAGCCACTTAGCCGTGGCACAGCCCCGTGTCTACACCCCTGGCTGGCGACAGCAGGCCAGACACAGCCATCTCGCTGGCAAAGGGGCTGGGGGCCTGCAGTCTTCAGACCTGAACTGGATTTATCATCGAGCCTCCTGCTGAGTTTCAATTCCTATTGTATAGACTGTTTTGAAGCATGGCTCTTCTTTCAACTCCCCAGGTCCTGCTCTAATCTGAAGCAGACTATTCCTGAGCCAGGGCTCTTGAGGACCCTCTCCTCTGCCCCGCACCCCTGCTCCGCTCGTCCGTGTGGTCTGCATGCCTGTCCCTGGAAGCCTGCACCACACCCAGGGCACAGAGAGATGGGCCAGAGCAAGTCCTGCGGCGGGAGCAGCTGTGTTTGCGGGGAAAGCCAGCGCCATGCGCAGGGGCTCCAGGCTCTGACCAGTGAGGCCACGGCGCGCTGGGTCTTACTGAAACTTAAGACCTCTGTGGAGGAAGCAAGGCTCAAATTGAGTCTGTGGCCTCCGTGTGGGAAGGGTACCCCTGGGGGCAAAGGAGGTAAGCCAGAGTTATTGGAAATGACCAAATACTAATTCCAGGCGGTGGAAATACGTTGCTTATTATGTTACGTTGTATACTTTCCTGAATTTTATTTTATTTGGAAAACAAACGGGGAAAAGGAAGCCGAGAGATGGCTGCGCACACCGGCCAAGCTGCCTGGGACGGTGACGTCCCCATCACAAAGGCATGGGTGGCACCAGGGCTTCCCCGCCTTGAAGCAGCCCTGCAGGCTGCCCAACACGGTCTCCGGTGAGGGGACTGAGAGTGAACGAGGTTATGCTGATGAAAACAGAACGCACAGCAAAGGCTCCGTGCGGCCTGCGGCAGGCTCACTATCCGGTGATCGGAAGCACATTCGTTGCAGGGAGGCAGATGGGAATGCTGGTGAGCTCAGAACTCATAAAGCGCGGGCACGATCCGACGACTTTTTTCTGCCGTCGGACCCCTCGATATATTCCAACAAAGTACACAAGAGGAGCTACAGGGCCCGTGACAAAGAAAAGCCACAGATAAAGCTCCAGGGGATGATGGTATCCGCAGAGGCAGGCACCTACGTCCCTGCCCCTCCCGCTGAGGGCGCATCTGGGTTTCAGAAAAGCTCCTGGGGACCGGTCAGACCTGGAGAAGCAGGCTGTACAAACGCACAGTAGACAGCTTCAACGCACGGCCTCCGACTAATGCTGGCCGAAGCGCGATGCTGGTGCCGCCCCAAATCCCTTTAACACAAGATAAGCCCTCAGCAAGCAAACAGAAGACCAGGGTCTTCAGAGAGGAAATCCTGGCCGGGTGGTCTTGCAGCCACCACTCGACTCCCTCCCTCCACAGCCAAATAAAATGTGAGCCTTTCAAGGCCCGTCCGACTCACCAATTCCCTTAACGCAGCTGCCAAAACCCAAAGCTTCTGACTGATCCAGCAGCAGCTTCCAAGCACCTTGAATCATGCAGCCAAGAAGACTGCGTTTCCTTCTTCAACAGCCTCAAAGAAAACATTTTTCTCCTTTTCATAATACCCTTTCCAGAGCAAGTACCCCCCAGGAAGCGAGGAGCATGACTTAGAGCAGCAGCTCTGTGGCTGGAATGTCAAGAGGACATCAGCCTCAGGTGTCCACTGGGCATCCGATGCCAGGCCACGTGCGCAACAGGGGACAGACTCAGAGGACACACGTGATAAAGTGCTAGAAGGGGCTCCCCCATGGTTCCTGAGCACCGGGGCCTGGATGCACGCTGGGCGCTGCGGGATGCACCTCCGGCCCCACCAGTACAGAGTGTGTGACTGGACTGATGACCAATTACCTGCTTGGGTGTAGACCTGATCACTTAACTCCCCCTGGATACACAGGGTTTCAGCAAATCAAAGCAGTTCCTTTACGGAGCATTTACATTGTACTCATCTCAACAGCTGTCGCAGGCACATATTCCCTTCTACTTTTAGGTCAAGGCTGGAGCACAGAAGAGGCTCGTGGTAAGGAAAACTCGCGGACATCCACAACCCCACGCAGGTTGGCTGCTCCAGTGCCGAGACAGACCTTCTCCCTAGCTCTGGTGGCTGTAACTTATGTGACTTCCAAACACCCACAAAGTGCTTACAAATTAGAAAGAAAGCTTGCTGCCATGTGTTCCTGAATGCTGAAGCCCAGTTAGAAACCTAACAATCAGATGTTTGCTTCTATTACTTACAGGAAGCCTGGTTCTCCATCAGCAAGACAGGGAGGACACTGCCTGGCTCCCAAGCTATAGGGTTAGAGGAAGGCAGCGCCTGCCCCACAAGGCCCTGGGATCAGGGGAGGGCAGCNGCTCCAGGCTCCGAGCTGGCAGTCAGCACAGAGCCCGACGCGGGGCTCGAACCCACGAACCGCGAGATCATGACCTAAGCGAAAGTCGGACGCTTAACCGACTAAGCCACCCAGGCGCCCCGATTTTAGTCCATTTCTATCTGCAGTGTGAGCTGGCAGTCCACCTCCTCTCTGGCACGTGCACGTCCAGTTGTCCTGGCAGAAGAGACTGCCTTCCCCCGGTCAATAGGACCCAGGCGCCTGTGTGCGAGTGCCAACCCACCCCAGACGGGAGGCGCGGTTGCTCCGCTCTGCGTGCTGTGCCATGGTCCCTATATCCCTATGCCAGCACAGCACTGTTTGGACGAATGGAAGTGCGTACCGAGTTCGGAGCCTGGGGAGTGAGAGTCCTGCGGGTTTGTTCTTTGTCAAGCTGTCCAGCTATTTGGCGTCCCTTGAGATTCCTATAAATTTTAGGGTGAGTCTCTCCCTTTTGTTTAAAAAAAAAAAAAGTGGGGCGCCTGGGTGGCTTAGTCGGTTAAGCGTCCGACTTCAGCTCAGGTCATGATCTCACAGTTCGTGGGTTCGAACCCCACGTCAGGCTGTGCTGACAGCTCAGAGCCTGGAGCCTGTTTCACATTCTGTGTCTCCCTCTCTCCCTCTCTCAAAAATAAATAATTAAAAAAAAAAAAAAAAGTAAAACCAAACCAAACAATATGGTTGGGACTTTGATAGGGACTGTACTCTTTTATTTCCTAATGTTTATTTATTTGGAGGGGAGGGCACCGAGAGAGGGGAGTGAGAGAGAATCCCAAGCGGGATGCGCACGGTCAGCAAGGAGCCCGACGTGGGGCTTGAACTCCACAACCATGAGATCATGACGTGAACCAAAATGAAGAGTCGGATGTTGAACTGACTGAGCCCCCCGGGTGCCCCAGGACTGTCACCTTCAATGTCTTCCATCATCAGGATCGCTGACCGGCCTCTAGCGATGGCTGCGCAGCCTTCTAGCTGGCACTTCTCTCACTGAAGCACTGTGGTGTCAATTACCATGAGGTTTGGTCTCATTCAGGCTCGATTTTTTGACAAGAATTCAAAGGTGGTCTGTGGTATTCTACCAAAAGGAAAGGCCCAGGGGCACCTGGTGGCTCAGTCGGTTAAGCGTCTGACTTCGGCTCAGGTCATGATCTCGCGGTTCATGGGTTCGAGCCCTGTGTTGGGCTCTGTGCTGACAGCTCAGAGCCTGGAGCCTGTTTCAGATTCTGTGTCTCCCTCTCTCTCTGACCCTCCCCTGCTCACACTGTCTCTCTCTCTCTCAGAAAGAAATACAACATTTAAAAAAAAAAAAAAAGAAAAGGGGGAAAGGCCCGTCATTTCCGGTGGTCTCATTTTGCGATGCTGGCCACTGGTGCGCATCGTCCAGATCCACAATTCCATCACAAGCGGGCACAATGCTGATATCTGGATTCTGTGATTCCTTCTTCATTCTTGATGAGGACTCCTATACACGGAACCTCCCACCACAGCAGCCACCCTGAGGCGCGGCTCACATGGAGCGCCGGCAGATGCTGCGTTCCGGCCTCTGGCATTTACCAAGCAACAAATTAGACTTTTACAAGTATGAGGAGGAGCCCCTGAATTCTGACTTGATCTTAGCAACAAGGCCGAGAAGCAAAGAGTCCCTGAATTCTCAATATGGGCTGAAGTGTGATCCAACGCGGCTGCCGTGCTCCTGGTGAGCAGAAGCGACTGCAGGGGAGTGCGGCTGCCCATGGGCGCACAGACCAGCTTCCCCAGGCCACAGTCATCACGAGGCTGCGCGTCTCCTGTGACTCCAGCGAGAAGGGAAATCCCGAGACACGTGGCCACAGTCAGGAAAACCGACGTCGCGCACCGTGCCTCTTCCCTGTCACGCGCCACACCTGTCTCAGGGCCGGTTTGCTTTCCTGACGCCCATGCGTGCCACCCGAACGTTAACTGGTACCTTGGGTTTGTTTGGATGTGCCGAAGGGGATGTAGCAGCAACCGGGGACCCAAAAATATCACTGGTCTTTCCGCCAGGTGGGTTCAGACGCGGTCGTGTCTGCACGGGCGTGGATTCGTCAAAGATGCCGCTTCCTTTGCCCCCTGTAGAAACAATCACACAGCAGCGAGCACACCCACGACATCCATGTGGTCCCACCCTCTGCGTTCATTCCCTGAGACCTCTCCTCCCAGGGGCACCCCAATGCCAGTCCCTCATTCAGGCAGTGGGGGCAGTGATCGGGGTCATGAGGATCCCCAAAGACCAAGGTCAAACCCAATCCCTTTACTGGGGGCCCGCTGGGACCTTCGTTTCCGGAAGCTGAACTGGGCTGGCCTCTAGAGGCAAGATAGTAAGATGGCATAAAACACCATTTCTAGGACTTCCTTAACTTTAACTTGTTACCTGTTGAACAATCTTCTTCATTAAACCCATGAAAAGTTCTTTGTGTTAAAAGCAAATAGCTGTAGGGGCGCCTGAGTGGCTCAGTCAGTAAGCGTCTGACTTCAGCTCAGGTCATGATCTTACAGTTCATGAGTCTGAGGCCTGCATCGGGCTCTGTGCTGACAGCTCAGAGCCTGGAGCCTGTTTCAGATTCTGTGTCTCCCTCTCTCTCTGACCCTCCCCTATTCACGCGGTCTCTCTCTCTCAGAAATAAATAAAACATTAAAAAAATATATTAAATAAACAAATAAGAGCAAATAGCTGTTACATTTTTAGGCCAGACAGAAAGGAATTTAACAACAAGTCATTCAAGGCAAACCTGTAATCTGGAAAATAACACGGATCAGTCATTCTTCTGACCTCATTGTGGCTGGCGCACCCAGTGACAACTGGAGATTATCAGCAAATCACAGACACGTGACATCCTGCGGCGCAGGTACGAGACCCGATGAGCCATGATGAAGACATGCATCTAATGCCTAACTTCTCATAAGCTGACGCCTCTGGCCAGACACCAAAGTCAACGCCCAAGAGCCTGCGTGAAGCAGGAACGCTGCCGCACGGAGCCAGCTGGCCGGATCCTCACTCAGCAGATGCCAGCTCCTCTCTGCAGGGAGCTGCTCGGATGGAGGGGGGGGGGGAAGGTGGGCGTCACCGCCACAGCCCTCGTGCACCAGGGACTTACAATCTCACAAGAGGAAAGCAGATGAATTCCGCTAAGTAGCTAGATGACCACATACAAATTACTTGGCCCCTCCGTGCCCGCCAATCCGCAACAGCAGAACGAAAGGACCTTGCTCCCAGCGCTGTGAGCAGAGTCAATGCCTCACTGTAGCTCAGACATCACATGCTTAGAACGATGCCAGGGACACAAGGCTCCGCGAGTGTTCACTGTATTGTCTGCGTACTGGTAACGGGACATCGCCTGATGGACGCACTGCTCAGCGACAAAAGGCACAATACACCATCTGTACGGCCTATCTTCCCTTGTATCTCAATCAACAGAGCAGTTACTCCACGTCCCCCACCCCGCCACAGGGCCGGTGTGCACACAGGACACGGGATGGGCGGGGGCAGGACTCACGACCGCTTATCGTGTCATTTTTCACGGTGCTGAACTTTGCTCACTGTTTCCAAGAAACCACGTGGCAAGCAGTGCCCTGCTTGGCTCCAGTAACGCGCACGGCCGCCACGGAGAAGCGCAAGTGCGCAGAAACGACCCACACACGGCTGGCCCCCTGCGGGCTCCCCCGCCAGAGCGGACGCTGGGATGCCAGTCTCCCAGGGGGAGCACGTCAGCAGCGCGCAGGGCTGCCCGTGCGGGAAGCGGGCGCCCACCCACCTCGCCCTCCCGGGCCCCGCAGGCTGCGCAGCGCTGGGCCGCGGGGGGAGCCCCTGCACAGCCACTTGCCAACTGAGCCTGGAGGAGGGGATTCGTAATGAGGAGACCGATCTAGGGCAGTGGTGAGAGGAGAGACTTAATGCACGTTGAGGCGGCAGAGCGGGGCCCAGCAGATGAGCCCTCAGTGACCCTCAGGTGCTGCCGGGTCATGGTCAGGAAAAATGTCTCCGCCAGAGAGTGCAGAAAACTATTGCCGAAGGTCATCCCGTCCTGTGCTGTTTCTGGTCACACTGCAAAGGCTTCGTTAAATTGTTTTAAAAATGTGCATTCAGCTTTTTAAAAAAATGGAACATAAAAGTAACTCAATTTGTGGCACCCGAGTGGCTCAGTCAGTTAAGCGTTCAGCTCTGGTCACGATCTGACAGTCGTGAGACTGAGCCCCGCTTTGGGCTCTGCGCTGGGCACGGAGCCCGCTTAGGATTCTCTGTCTCCCTGTCTCTCACTGCCCTTCCCCCACTTGCATGCACACTAGCTCTCTCAAAAAGAAAAAGTCAATTTGAAATTTTTGTCTAAAGACACTGATCATTAAGAAAAAAACCTTTTGTTTATGGTTTTCTTTTTTTTGAGAGAGCACAAGTGGCAGAGGGGTGGAGAGAGGGAGACAGAGGGTCTGAGCAGGCTCGTGCTGACAGCACAGACCCTGACATGAGGCTTGAACCCATGAACTGCTAGATTGGGACCTGAGCTGAAGCTGGACGCTCAACCGACTGAGCCACCCAGGTGCCCCCAGGTTTTTTAAGTTATAAAATATACCCGCAACGTTCCTAAGACGTAATTTTCACAAATAACGAGAAAGCAAACACCCAAGGGACTGCCCCCTGGAGCATACAAAGCGCGACCAGCTCCCAGGACCCCGCGTGCCCTCCCCCCAGCCCAGGTCGCAACACGCCCGAGTTTTCTGGACACCAGGAGCTCTGTGCCGTCGTCGGTGTGTTCTCACTGTGTGCACATCCCGTCCCACACGGTACGCTGTGTCCCCATGCTTCGTTAGGAGGGGTCGGCCTGCGTGTCTCTCAACATCTCACCTGGGAGACGAACTCAGCTTTGAAGGAGGAAAAGGCACTCGGTTCACTCACAACCGAGGAAAGCTGAATGCAAGGCGTGCTTTTTCAACAATCGAAGTGCAGAAGACAGACGTGGTGTCGGCAGAGCAGGGGGCCCGTGTGGCACACAGGGTGGCAGACGCCGCGGGCAAGTTTAAACTGACCCCGCAATTCCACTTCTAGACGCTCAGCGCAGCTGCTTTCCCAGGCGGGGGGGGGGGAGGTGAGAGCACGAGCCCCAGAGCCCCCAGACGGCGATCCGAGGGCTAGCTCTGCCTCCGTCCGGCTGGGAGGTCCTGGTGCGGCAGCGAGCCTCCCGAGCCTCTGTTTCCCTCCCCGTAATGCCCCCCTGCCCTCCTAGGGGTGTAGACAGCCAACGAATATACAGAAAGCACCGAGCACAGTCCCTGGAAATGCTCCGCCCCGTTGTTCGCACAGGAGGACGAGCCGCAGGAGGCGCGGGCCAGGCAGCTAGCAGGGCCCACGCGTGAAGGGAACAGTGGGCGCCGGGGACCCTCAGGGACGATCGCGCCAAGTCACAAGCTCCGCCCGGACACGGGGGCAGGAGCTCCAGTCTGCACGCAACCCTGGGGATGCCACATGGGTGGCTTCCAAAGAGCACCCAGCAGGACAGAAAACAGGCACATGAGAAGCAGGAAGCCGGTTCGGGGGGTGAGGTCCGGCGGCCGTCGCCGCATCCTGTGACCACAAGCTACACAGAGGCCCGCACCCTCTCTCTCTCGCTCGCTCTCTGGCCAAGAGGCGCCCAAGCGGCCCACTGGGGAATCACAGGAGCCTGAGGGTCTGCAGAGCAGCCCCGCCTTACGTCCCGGGGAACTGCCACCCCAGGGGCAGCCGAGACACGCTGCGAGCCAGTGGCTGGTCGCAGGCATGAGAGGAACAGATGGCGCCCCACGCCCGCTGTCGCTGACACACAGGAAGTGCAGTGCCGACCGCTCCGGCCCACACCTGGAAGCCCATAAGACGGGAGTGTCCCTGGCTTCTAAGAACCACCTGCTTGTTCGGCCACACCCACAACTGCAACCCCCACCCCCACCGTCAGAAAGCAACCAGCCACAGAACCAGCTGTTCCTCTTGGGTTCGGTCAGGAGACACGCGCAGCAGGGGTGCAGCAGGGGCGCAGCAGGGCGGGAGCCGGCCTGGCCTTGCTTCCGCTGGGCCTATCATCTGCCCAAAGTCCTGACCCCCGTGTCTGGCGCTCACATCTTTAAGGGTGGAGCAAACCCTGTCGTCCCCGGAGGATACGGTAACCGTCGCTGGGGTCACTCAGCTGCATAGTATGTCAGCCAAAAAGCATTTTTCTACGACTTTCTCGCTGTGACCACTGCCAGGTGGGGCAGGCAGCAAGGAATTATATGGATGAGTCGGCCTTTTCAGAGCTTCCATCCCACTGACAATCGATTAAAAGTATTCTCCCGGGGGGCACCCGGTGGCTCAGGTCATGATCTCACGGCTCGAGTTCAAGCCCTGCATCAGGCGCTGCACTGACAGTGCGGAGTCTGCTTGGGCTTCTCTCTCTGCCCCTCCCCTACTTTCATACTCTCTATCTCAAAAATAAACATAAAATACCTATTACTTAAATATTCTCCCTAAGAAAAGCGTCCGAAGTATATAACTCGCACATAATTTCTGGAATCACAAGGGGCCCTTTAAACGACTGGGAGAGCCTCCCTTTGTATCTCCTTTGTATCCGCAGCGCCTGGACTCAGTCAGCATCTGTGACAGAGGATGGGGGATTCAAGGACGACCAGGCCACCTTCAGACAGAAACAGAAGTCAGGATAAGACCATCCTTGCATTCTGGAACTCTGATGGCAAGGGGCAGTCTGTACCAGACAGCACGTGAAAGGGTCAATGCAAAGAAATAAAAACTGTTATCGAAAGAGCAGCACAGAACAGAAGAGGCAGAGGCCGAAGGCTTAGCGGCTCCCGAAGGCCCTACCTGGGGGATTGGTCCTCTTAGGTAGGTTCTGAGGCTCTTCGGTTGGTCCAAAAATATTAGACGCCATCCTATTGGGCCTGCTTGAAGGAGCAGCTTCTTCGGAACTTCCAAAAAGATTGCTGGCCTCTCCTCCCGGGGGCTTCATGGCCCTGCAAGCAGAGGGAGTGTGAGTCACTGATGGCCCCGCACATCACCGTCCAGGCGCTATGGGGGATACGCCTTCTGACGCCTGAGGAAAACTCAGTCCCTTGGCCCCGGCGTGACGAGTCCACAGCCAGCCAAAGAGCAAACTTCCAGCGTGACCCTCGTTCTCCTCGCGTATGCTGATTATGCCAAAACCCCTCTAGAAACGGTGCACTTGAGAACTATTCTCGTGACCCTCTGATAAGTAAAATTAATGTCCCTAACACAAAGTGGCGACTTCAGTAGAGTTGAATGCAAATCTTAATTAATACACAATAGTATTTAACGCTGCAAACACAATTAGGGCGCCTGGCTGGCCGAGTCGGTGCAGTGTGCAACTCTTGATCTCAGAGTCGTTAATTCAAGCCCCATGTTGGGTGTAGACACTATAGAGGTTACTTAAAAAATTAAATTAAAAAATTAAAAACACCATCGACACGTTCAGTAGCGTTTACTACTGCAGCGCACACTTGCCCAGTCCTTACTGTTTCCATCTACTGCTCCAAGAGCCGCACACCACAACCCTCTAAGGCAGGCATTATTTTCACAGATGGGGCAGCAGAGACAAAGAGAAATCACAAGGAAGGCTGTGGGGGGAGGGGCAGAACCTGAACGCAAGCCTGGGCCGTCTGCGTCTAGCGTGCAGACTACCCCTCACGTCTCTGTTAAAGGCCTTTAGAAAAATTGAGGGTCAGGACCGATCGGTGGCGTCCACACTAGGCAAGTCATCTCCAGTCCTGAAGTCCCGTAAAACCAAATGATCGCCCATCAGAGAGATCAGAGGACACGCCTGCGAGCACCACTGCCCAAGTCACCTCAGCACACGGGCGCCATGCGACCGCTCGGGCACCCCAGCAGCATCCACCCCGAGTCTCGACCGGTGAGAAAATGTCCTGCGTCATTCGAAGGCTTAAAGGAAACATTTACGAAGGGGAGGACCGGGACCTCGAGTTGCTTTTTATCAAGGTAACTGAAGAATCAAGAAATTTTCACAAAGCTCCGCCCGGATGGCACCCCCCACCCCCCCCCCGACCCCGGAGCTTCAAACCACATCAGCGAAGCAGCCACACAGAGTTCACGTGCATCTTTTGGAACACCTACAAAGATTTTTAAAATGCATTTTAAAGGTGAGAAGGCACTGCTGAAACAGACTTTGAAACTGGTGAGCGGCCCAGGCGCCTTCACTAGTCCTGAGCAACAGGCCCATGTTGGCGACATGGGGAAATGGAAGGGAACGTGGAGCGTGATACCACGTGAAAGGCACAAGGCTTTGCGGGCGCTGCCAGGACCCAGGTCACAGAAACTTGACATTTAACATGCTTTTTGCTTCCTTAAAAGAACTAGAAAGGGAGGGGCCCCTGGTTGACTCAGTCAGTTGAGTATCTGACTTTGACTCAGGTCATGATATCCTGGTTCGTGGGTTCAATCCCTGTGTCTGAGCTGTCAGCACAGAGCCCGGAACCTGCTTCAGATTCTGTGTGTCTGCCCCTCCCCCACTCGTACTCTTTTCTCTCTAAAATAAATAAACATTAAAAAAAGAAAGAGCTAGAAAAGGAGCTGACCGTTCACAATAATTTATTTATTTATTTATTTTTAATGTTTTTATTTATTTCTAGGAGAGAGAGAGAGAGACAGCGTGAGCAGGGGAGGGTCAGAGAGAGAGGGAGTCACAGACTGAAACAGGCTCCAGGCTCTGAGCTGG